AGCCTCTTCTCCGTGGTGCCCAGCAACAGGACAAGAGGCAACGGGCAGAAACTGAAGCACAGGAAGTTCTGTCTGAACCTGAGAAAAAACTTCTTCACTGTGAGGGTGACAGAGCATTGGAACAGGTTGCCCAGAGAGGTGGTGGAGTCTCCTTCCCTGGAGATATTCAAAAGCCGTCCGGATGTGATCGTGGGCAATATGCTCTAGGTGACCCTGCTTGAGCAGGGAGGTTGGACTAGATGATCTCCAGAGGTCCCTTCCAACCTAAATGATTCTGGGATTCTGGGATTCTGTGAAACTTTCATATCATTCAATTGCATGCCCTTTTTTCCCTAAATATATTAATATTCTATATATTGGTAAGCTATATCAATATCAATTCACAGACACAGAAAAATTATACATGTCTTTATACACATAGATAGCTGCTCAGCTGCAAAATTTTTTGAAATTACTAAGAAGTAGTAGAAATTCTATGATGTCTGTGATGTACATGAAAGACCATACAAATAATTAGGAGACGCCTGTTGATTTTGATGGCTACAATACATCACAATGATTCATTCAAGGCTGAATCTCACAATGCTCCAAAAACATGGATAATCAATCACTTTCAAAGGCAGCACAGGTGCAGGCTTCAGTAGAAGTATTAGGTGTGGAACCTGGCACTAAGAGAGCAACAGGCTCAATGCCAACATAAGTAGAACTGCCAGACTCTGTTTAGTAGATATATTTAAACCTTACACAAATGCTGGCCTCCCATTCCTGTCCACAGTGAAAGTATCTAAGAATGTAAAACTTAAAAGGTATAGACCACCACAGAGAATAACTTTCTCTAAATAATTTTCTCAACATTTTAGAAACAAAAAAACAAGCTTCCTATGATGACATTTTAATTAAATCTTGCAGAGCCTATTTTATCACATAACATTTTCATCATCCTTCACAGAAGGATATAGAAAATGCATTTTTCTATTTGTTACAGTTTCCTCCCACACTTATTGTACATTGTGATACCAGCCTAATTTTGGATCAGAGCCTGCATGCACGTATATGCTTAACTGTATTCACATAAGTCATTTCACCGATACAAGTGGGCCCAGAATAAAGTTAAGCAAACACATGAGTGTTCCAGTCTCCAAATTCTCCTGTTGGAAAAGCCTTGAAGCTATGACTTTGACTTATATAGCTGAAATTCCGTATAGCGGTATTTCATGAAAACAATGAGTTCCCTTCCCAAAGAGCTTAAATTCTCCACCACAGAAACTGTTATAAAAATCTGTCACAAGAAAATTCCAAAACTGACAGTTTTCCCACTGACCAGCAAAGGGAATATTTTAGAGGAGACAGCTCATAAGACCTTTCTATAAAAAAAGACTATGATAATCTCTTTATTCTTTGCTGTCTACCTTGATAACATAATTCCTTAAAACAAAAATAATAAGGGAGACTACCTGCATCTCCCTGCGGTATTTGAAGTACTGTGTACAGACATAGAGAGAAGTCCTTTACTTTGATACACCTGCAGAGGAAGTCTCCTCATTATGAGAAGAGACAAAAAATGATCTATTTTCTCTGAGAACTGGACTAAATCTGCAATGAAATGAAGCAGAAAAGATAAAATCCTTTATCTATTATCTTAGTATTAGAAATCAATCAGTCTACAATGAAAACAATTTTACTGTATTTGTTACAAAGTTTTGAAAACGTACCTACAACAAGGGTTACCTGTACTCTTACGATTTAAAAGAGAAACTAAGGGTTAGCTAGGGGAATTACCATGCAGTATTGACAAAAAATTCCAAAAATGCCACCTGCAAGATATTTCCCAAGTTGACTGCTAAAGAACACTAAGAAACATGTTTTGTAACATGAAATTCTCTCCTGTTCTGCCTGAACATCACTTATACAGTCTAATTCTACAGCTAAAGTCCTAAAGCTCACAATATGCTTTTAAAACACATGGGACAAATAACTATGAGGCTCCTTTTCAGTATTTTCACTGTAGTGATGAAAATGAAAAATGTGATCAAATGGAAATTAACAAAAGTAATTCACAGTAGAAGTTGCTGGACAGAAATGGGCTATAACGTCAAATCAAATCAAACATGCAGGATTGTGCTCCTTTAGTACAGAATGAATGTAAATATTTGCCTGACACCTTTTCTAACATTTACAGATAATTTTAAAATCATCCTCAAATTGACTTGTGAGATAGATTTGCTGACCTTTTACAAAGGCACAACTGTTTGCACTTCTGAGATATGTTCTGCCTGAGGATTTCAAGATCTTTTACAAACAGGAAAAGAAATAAACCTTACAGCATCAATATGTGGTAGGTAAATAAAACACAATAGCATGCTGCAAGAAAAAAACAGCAGCAGACATGGTTTTGTATCTTACAGGGTACGTTTCTGCTTCTTCTTGCCAAGTGGAAAAAGAAAACTACATAACTCCCTTTAAAACTGGACTAACTTGAGGGACTGTAGTTTCAGGGCCTCTATTTCTTGACGCAGATGTATTTTTAACTCACTGCAACTCAGGGAAGAAAGTATTCATCATTAAATCACAACTCTGGGAAAGAACAAATTTTAAAATATGAATGCTAGTTAATACATTCAATACTGTTATCAGAAAGATTTTCACAAAAAATTATCACATAAGCAGAGCTCCAACAACTTTAATACCTGTTTCGATCATTCATAAGCCAATATAGCTTAACATAATAACAGAACAGTATAATTTATGGGGAAACTGAAGTGTTTTGCAAACTCATTGTGCTGGTAAAGTAAAAAATTGTGTTTCACTTTTAAACAATTATGGGTTTTATTAACTGAAAACATTCAAAATTGAACTTGTTTTGAAGACAAAAGTCGATACATTTGATTAAAAAATACTGGAAAACGTTTCAGAAATGGTGTCCCCCTTGGAAACAAAATGAAATAAAACAAACCAAAGCAACCAAAGCTACGCTTTGTCACACTCTTTTAAACATGCAAAGCCTTGCTCTTACAGGCAAAGTATAATATTGATGAACCTAGGTATCTGTATTATGTACACCACAAACTTGTTTTTTACATTGAAATAAATGAGGCCTCCACGAATAACCAGTTTGCTAAATATCCATGAAAAAAGTTATCTTAAGTTGCCGTTATAAAACTTTTAATAATGTTTTAATATTAAAATCTTACACAGAATCATCTCTTTAGCCTTTTCTGTATTACTGGTAATGAAAGAAAAGAGGGTGAGAAAAAAAAATCCTTCAATTATGCAAAAATACGTCTTGAAGTTGCACAGTAATGTATTAAGCCAGAACAATGAGTAAAATGTTATTTTCCCCTAGGCATAAGTGCTCATTGTGCTGCCAGAAACAATCTAAAACAAATTTCTGTCCAGGCTTTGTAGTTAAACATGAAGAGATTTAACTGAAAAAACCACATTATAGCGGAGGAAAGACAGTAGAGACTAAGGCATACTAGACATAATTGTGTAAGTAAATTCAAACAAGGTACAATTAACACCTGTGGCACACAACTAAGATAAAATAAATACAGAATAGAAGTTAAAAATAGTTTAAAATTGTCTATTAATGGTTTCTACAAAAGTGCTTACCTAAGTAGCTACTTTTATGAATTGCTCATAATGCAGTATTTTCTGCACAATTTTCAGAAATCTCTTGAAAGCCTGAAATTAAAATGTGTTCTCCTTCTAAAGCAGAATTTTCTTTTACCTGCAATGATTTGCTATTGTAGGAGTGGCTTTTAAGTGGTGAATTACTATTTAACATTTACATTTTTTCATGAGGTTTGCAAACACGTAACAGTGAGGAAAAGTACAGGAATATCAATTTTTAATGGCATCTAACATTATGCAGTTAAACTATGCTAACTTAGTAGCACGTATGCTCTGAAAGATTGACTGGTTCTCCATATTCATAACTTCTTGAAGACCTAGCTTATTTTACCATGACAAAAAATAAATTAATCTAGAGCCAGAAGATTCTGCTTTTCCTCATGAGGCAACTACTGCAGAACACAAACTATTTTCCTTTTAACTATACAAGACATTGGTTTATAAACCAAAATCCAGGCCATGCCTCTGTAAAGCTTACCTCTTTGAGAGTGTGACAGCTTTGTCTACAATGATTTTGAAATATGATTTGCCATAACACTGCTTGAAATTGTGAGGCTTTAACCAAATCTAAAACATCTACACAAGAAGGGAAAAAAAGCTTCTGAACAGATAAAAGTAAAATCTTGATTCTCATATAAAATGTTATGCATTTTAATATGATATTTTTGCTTGATTTATGTAAAGCTTTGTGTTTTTCATTTTTGCTAGCCTGTCACATTGTAGTGATGCATGCATGGTACATTTTAGCATCAAGTTTGCCACAAGCAATAACGTCATTGCCCCCAAGAAATATTAATATATTATCACTCCCCTCCCCCAATTTTCTTTTATTCAGCCTATTTGGTTTCACTTCACATAGCTGGTTGACAATATTTTCAGTTTCCCACACAACTATTTAATGCTTTACATTTTAAAAAATTCAAAAGTAGAACTTGGTAGGATGAAATAGAATAGGATATATTTTCCAAGGCAAGGAATGAGGTCATCATGGAAGAAAAATTTAAGAACATTTTATCTGTTTGTAAAAATAGAATTTAAAAGGAAAAAAAACTAAGTGAATTATCTGTTTAAAAATTACAGAAAATGAGTCACTCAAGAGAGTGAGAAATATAAAACATCATCATAATAACATTCTTATAACAACCCTGTACATAGTTCAGTGATCTTCAAAGTGCAGAAGAAGAATAGGAAGGCCTATACAAATATAACTGCAACAGTAGCCAGAAGATCATGAGGCATTATCTCCAGAAATAAGCAGCATTTAAAGTAGAATTTAAAGATGATATCTGATAAAAAATAAGTCAGCAAGGAAATCTCCAAATCTTTAGCTTTGTGATTTTATCTGTATTTTATCAATTATTTTGGTAATCATGCACAATATGTTAGTTAGGGAAAGCTCTATCTCACTATGCAATTGATATTGCCTGTTCTCATAATCTTCCCAGAGCCTATGTATGTCAAAATTTTGGAGGGGATAAAAAAAAAAAAAAAGGCAGACTCACATTTCAAAAATAATATTTACGGTTTTAACAAAGTATTAGCTTTTACAGATGTTCAGGTGAAAGAAAAATTCAATTTGCCTATAAAGCAATGAGAAAAACTGGAAAAGTGATCACAAAAACTAGGAGATAGTTTTTGAAGTTTGACCTTTGAAGTTATGCTCTGCTCACATACAAGTTTTCAATATTTAAAGCACTAGAAATTCCTATCCCTATTCCATCATTGCCATGGAATCATAAGCTAAAAGAGTAAGTCTCAGTGAATTGCTCTTAAGCTCTCTGACCAGAGTATCTCCTCTATATGAACCTCATGGTGCAAACAGTAAACGAAGACAGAAAAGATAAAGGAAATAAAGATTAAAAAGATAGAAAAAGATAAAAGTAATTATATAGTAGAGGTATCTTTTATATAAAAAAGACACACCACAAAATCAATGTCTCCCACTGTAGTTAAGGTGGATGAGCAGGTTTTTAAACTAACCGCTTTACATCAGAAACAGTAAAAAAGAGTAGCCGCCTCCCAGCAGACTAACACTGCGTACAGTTTCCTTCCACAGATGAGTTCCACACTGTGGCTAGTCGTGTGACAGACGTTACACATGTGCTCGACTGAACAGTGTCTGCTGAGTACCTCAAGGTTTCAAGATGAAAAATGCTACACAAATATACTACCTCCATTCATTCCTTTGACATAAGGAAGCATTTGTGTTGAGATTTTCTGATGGCAGCTTCTGAAATTCAACTAAATATGTACATGGCTATTTCTAAGTACAGGCAGATGAGAATATCCAGCTTAATTCAAAATTGAAAAAGCAACATAAAAGAGAAAGCATGCACATAGCTCTACTATTAAAGGAACAGGAAATTTGGAATCTACTTGCCTTATTCTCCAAGTGTAATTCTAAAAAATGAAGGTAAGCCACAGGTGCAAATGCATCAGCTGAATGTACAACCACCTTTGCTGAATCCCTGAAATATAATGTTATTGGCAAGATATTTTAATGTATAATTTTATATACAATGTTTAGTCACGGTACAACATACTCTCCAAGGTAACTCATTGAAAATCAACAAGTTTTTTCTTTTTTTACATCAATTACAAAAAAAAAAGAAAAGTTGCCATATAGTGGGCTGTTTAGCAACATAATTTTTCCTTCACTAATTTTTAATTTTCAAAAAGGACAAACTATACTTCCAGACCACTACTGAGAAATTTAGCTAGCTGTAGCCTCTGCAAGCATATAGGGTATTATGGTCTAGATTCTAGAGACTAACAAGTAAAACAATCTTTTAATTTCATCAACAGAAGACAAAAAAAAAAAAAAGTCCCTTCATCCTGATTAACGCTCCAGGAATTACTTCTTATAGTACTAACACCATACAATATTTCATGCAGAGAAACTGACTGATTTGACCATCTTGCATCTGATATTGAAAACTACTAAACACAACTTCCTAATGCCAAACGTGTTGGTAACAATGATAAGTTTCCATTGTGCTGATTCAAATTAGTTAATTTCAGTTTTAATTTTTACAGACACAGTCTGTCACACTTTGATTCACAAGAGGCAGTATCTGTTATATCCATCTGCATGGTTTCATTACTTAAGAAAAAGGTAGCTCTAGGAAACAAACATCAGAAGGTAAGAAACTAAAAATCTCAGAGAAAACATAAGAGACATTCAGACACAGTATAAAAAAATCTGAGGACTGTTACAAGTAAGGCAAAGGACATGCTGATAATTTTCTTTAAACCACAGTGCTCTTGGTGCCTTTACAGTAGTCAAAGAGATCAGACAGGCTTGGGGATTCCAAACAACATTTCTAGTAACGCCATATGAAAAATAAGCAAACTAGAAACAGTTGAAGTCTTGGCCAGATTCCACTGACTTAATGAAAGATCAAAATTAAAAGAAATATCTGTTTTATAAAATGTGGTTTAGAAATTAAAATCAAAAACTCCTATGATTATCACCACCATTACATTACGCAATAATAAATACCTTCAGCAAATGAAGGTATTCTCTTCCCTTTTAATAAGCTTTAAAAGTAATCTTTTGATAATTAAGTCTTTAGCTTCATTTTTGATAGTTATTACCAAGATTCTTTAAGATTAAAATGTTAACTATTCCTTTAAATTTCCTTGAAGATAGACCTTTAAGTTTTGAAATAATTCTCTTCAAATGATCAAAGTATCTTCTAATTCTACCTGGAAGACTGAAAATGGGCAGAAAACTATTTTGGAAATCTGCAATTATAGGAAATAGGTATCATAAGAAATAGACCCTAGGACTGCAGTGGGAAAAAAAAATCAAATTATTCTGTCTATAAATAAAACCTTATCATAAGAGTAGGTCTGTTAAATAGCATTCACGTAGAATAGAACTATATCTTTATGGTCTACAGACATTAATCAATTATAACTTTAAAAGCCCATTTAAGGGAGTTAGTAAGTGCTTGGTAACTCTCAAATACTGAGCATAAGAAAGCTGACACCTGATTACAACAGATTAACAGGGAAAGCCAGCTAAAACCAATCTCTTGACTCTTGGCTAAATATTTTGGTTGTAAGATCTTCCTTCACTCATAAATCTCATTTATTTTCAAATATTTCACTCAATCTGGCATGCCTGGTTTATGAAGCATAATCTTTAAATGAAGCTTGAGGGGAATGACAATTCAATTTAATAAATTTAAGAAAAAATAGTCACAAATTCTTATATTAAAGAGATTTCCACTTTTCCATAGTAAGTAACATCAGGGATAAGTTTTTGTTTTCCAGGTCTAGAAGATTTCCTATTTTTTCAAAGGACATACCACGAAAACACATTTTGTCAGAAGCTTCACAGGATAAAAGCATCAACCAGTGAAAACGCTACTCAAAAAACTATTTATAAATGTGATAGGCAAGTTAGATTTTCTCCTGCTTTGTAGGAAAGAGTCATCCTCAACGTCTTCTGCAGAAATTTCCTCTAGGAAAAATATTGGGGGAGTTTTGTGCATAGGAATTTAGGTACCTTGAAAATCCTTACAGATTTTATTCTGTTAGTGTCAATTCCTACATTTAAGCTTCAAAAATCATTTCACAGGCTATACCACAATCTAAACATTTGGAAACTGTACTAGCACAACTAAAAACACAGTTACATAGTCTGTACAGAGTTTCTCAGTATATATCAGAAACAAGAACAAATAGTATCAAATTAAACATATTTCTATCTTTTAACGAAAAAGAAACTACAAAGATTTTAATTGTAAAAGTTTATGACATAATAGATTTTCACATGAATGGCCCTTGAAAGGTATGTCTTCATGACAAAGAACTGGAAGAACTAAGTAGGACTGGCTAATCAAGCCAGAGAAACACAATGTCAGTGTAGCTATTCACTTTCCATTACACAAGGGTGTATTTAGAACTATAACTCAGTTTAACAGTCTACTGTGCCATATATTTATTATTAAACAACCACTGATTTACAACCATGTCTTTTACTGTAATTTTTTGTGAATTTCTTGTTAACAATAGTTGAACCTTGCTGATTGAATAAGAATTTTAAATTACCCTGAGACATTCTATAAATGTTGTGTGCAGTACTACAGCCTTCCAGTGTCACAAAGCAGGGGGAAATATGGCTTCATTGATTACAAGAGAATTCTTTAATATAATTTGGGATTACTAGATGTGTGTTCATTTTCTTTTTGAACTTATTAATTCAAGTGTGCCTATAGAAAAAAGACGACGTAGCCAGACCACCTTTGTTCTAGCTTTCCTAGTTGCCAGAATGGCTCATTAAACCACTGGTAGCCATGGCATTTAGAATATACTTTAAGCTCTTTAAACTAGTATTGGTCTGATCCCAAATCAAGGGCATAACGTCCTTTTCTAAAAGTGTTCTTCAAATCCTATGCAAATAAAGCTCCTGTAGGACCTGACGGTAAGTAAAAAAATCCCTCTCCATGCTCGTATTTTCTATACCAACCAAGAATTTCTCATGAGACTTGACATAATTTTCCTGCAATCCACTGTATGTATGCAGAGAGAGCTTTCCTAGGGAACACTGGGGAATTATGCACCCAATTCCAATAAAAGGCTCAGATTTAATCTGTAACATAAGGAGCCTTAAAAATAAATAGCAAGAACGTAGATAATCAGCCAAACACATTTAAATGCAAAAACTGATATAAGCATATTTCATTTGTCAGTTAAAACTCAGCTAACCTTTTTTGATGCGTATTTTTTCTTGCAAGTGTTGCAATAAAAATGCTGAACAGGTCACATCTGTCTGGTAATAGGCAGTGTTACTCTCAAAAAAACGACAGCGTCACAGAACTTTGTCTCTTACAACTGATTCAACTTTGCCTTCTAGAACTGATAAGAATTTGTCATGTTAATAGGAATCACATCAGGCCTTAAATGTAAAAGTGAATCTTGCTCTAGCAATGACTTCACAGTATTTTTCTTTTTGCTTGTTGTTGAGAGAAATAGATTGAACTGTTTCTATCTCAGGGCATATTGTACAGTTTACACCTAGTTCTCCCAAAAATTTATTTGCATAAAGTGTTCTTTGAGAAATATCACCTGCATTTTATTCTAACTTCCAAGGCTTAACTTTCCAGCTCCTACCAACCAGCAGGTTGGTTCGCAACCTACTGCTTTTACCTAGCATCGGGTCTCCCTCCAGAGAATCTATTCCATTAGTCTCACTTTCTGACCCATAGATTCACATTCCACACTTGAACTTAAACTCAGTTAAGGATTATACATTGTTTCTTTTTGATTTTAACTCTTATTCAGAAATTCCATAGCTTTCCTCAATGGAGGCATCTCTAGACTCAAATTATCTGGGTTTTTTTTCAGACCTTTCTAGAGGATTTATCATTGAGCCAACCAATAGTTCAGTTCTATTCAGCTCAGTAGACATCTACTAGAATAACAGCTATCCCCTTTTCCAGCTTGTCCATTGTTCTCCCTTTCCCAAAAGTCATGTAATGAAACAGAGTTCAACAACTCTGAGTCCTCTGCTCCTTACATGGACAATGTTATGCAATTATGAAACAAACGGACCTTCAGCATCAAAGCCTTAATCATGTGTGTATATTCCATAATCTTGACCTTCCCTAAGATGATTAAGTATCACCAATATATGATTATTACGGTCTGTTTACTTGGCTAAGAATAGGATCCGCCGTCAAAACATCTCCGTCAAAGCATGCAGGCTAAGCTATTTAACAGACTGTACTGAGAAACTTATTATCAAGACACAAACATTTTCCATATTCTGCTACAAAGATTTTAGCAATTTATGTCAAAGCAATAAGCTACCCAGCGTAAATTAGATGGATTCATGCAAAGTTTGCATTTATAATATCCTCTAATAATTGAAGAAAAATGTTGAGAATTATCATTCTGGGCTGCTAAACTTAAAACACACACACACACACACACACACGTGCACGCGCGCACACACAGAGTTAATGGAACCCACAGGCTACTGATGTGGCAGTTTATCAAATGTAGCTGTAATGAAAGATAAATATTACAGGCAATTCGCACTTCATGAAAGGATAAAAGTGTCAGTGTGTAGGTACCAGTTTTACTGCAGGCCATAATCAGCAAGTAAACGAAAGTGCAAATGTCTAAAAAGTTTATAGCCTTCTATGAAGGCCTCGTCTTGTCAGGTATTGATTTAGGTTTTCAGAGGACTTTGCCAGTGTTAAACAAAGTGAGTGTTTGTGAACTTAGCGAACATGTTTTACTTCTGCCAACAAAAGTTGCCTCAAGCTAAATGTTAGTGTGTTCCCATTGCTTAAATATAAGGAAATGGTAGAAACTGTTCCTTACACAACTATTTTCTTCTTAAACAGAGGGCAGTCCAGAGTGAACGTTTCATATTCGCCACCTTCTCCACAAATGTGGACTCCGTATTTCTCCGAAAGCTAAAAAAAAAAAAAAATATATATATATATATATATATACACACAGAGACATATACATATATATAAAAGTACATAAGTAAATTTAATTATTATATTAAAACATTCCTTCAGTTTTGCTGAAAAGTTCAGTGTGTACTTTTTAAAAGACTGCTCATTAAAGCTCTGAACCCCCTCAAATATCAAACAGTGTTCTTAATTTCTTTGTATAGTGCTTCATATTGGTACTAATCAAGGTAGTAATCAAGCACTGGTAACATGCCTCAGCATGGAAGCACTCTTCCTTTTCTGCGGGAGAAATTGTTATCATGATCAACAGACTACATCACCTTCTAAAGTGTTTCAGCCCAGGGACATTTTACAAGCCCTGCATAGGCTTTTTCATATGAAGAGAGCACTAATATTTTGCTTCAAGCGATAAGCAGCTGAACAGCAATCCTAAAACCCCTTGCCAACACCAATCTTACTATTGGGAATATTTATCCAACTCCCGTATGCTTTCTTCTGAGGCACAGATGCCCATCCATGGTGTCTCTGCAATTGAAGTAGCAATGTAGTCCTCCACAACAAGTGGGATGTGGTTAAAAAAAAGTCTGTCCGGAGGCTGGAAAATAATCCCAAACCTGTGTTTTTCTACTTTTAGGCAAGCATGACTGGGTTATTTTTGTATCGCAGGTTCTATTCTTTATATCATTATCAGAAGATTTGTGTAGCATATCTATTTGATATATTCAAATAATAGTCTTTCGATTGCTGAAACTGAATGCATACTTTTTGTTAATCTACAGTTTTCTTTCAAAGGTTTTTATTTTAAAACTTTGAAGAACTTTAATCATTGCCTTAGCTAAAGAACAAAGATTCCAAAAATAAGTATTAAAGAAGAAAAAGAAATACACAAAACTTGAATGCTTTTGTAGAATAAAGGATCCATTTAATTAGTTAATAAACAATAGGTCCGAATCCTCTTCAACCTTTATTTTGAAGGAAAGTTTAAATGCTCTGAGAAAACAATACCATACATTACTCTATGTGACTGTTTAGTTGGCTTACAGTAAAAAATCTAAATCCCTTTTGCAACACCTGTTAAATCACTTTTCAGTGTTCTGTTATCAAAAACTTTTCTCATTTTCCCTTTCACATTTTCTTTTAAAGAAAAGCACCTTTTCCAATAATAATTATAGAAAGCTTATTTAATCAAGTATTCATTAAAAAATTACACTCCTGACATAAGAGAACTTCATCTGCCAACACCTGCCACCAGATTTCTGTAGGATAAATATATCAAAAATAATTAATGTTGATACAATAAGAATGGACAACCTACAAAACAGTTAGTCAAAACCTTTTATCCTTCCTCCCCTTGTAGCTTCCACTGGCAAACAATAATAATAATAAACTATTAAGAAAAAAAGAAATAGACAAAACTGGAGAATTTTTTTCCAATTGTGACCTTTCCCACAGTAAATACAAGGAACGACAAGTGATGTTAAAATTGGTAGCAAATCTTGTAAATATCAGTGTCAAGAATAATTATCGGCAATTAACAACAAATACTCAAAAGATGTTAGGCTATTTGCTATCAATGTTGGGAAATCCCCATTTGTGATGTCAATGGCTTTCAGAACATCCTCAACACCAACTGTACAAGGTGCTAAAGGATTTTCATTTTTTGTTCATGTCAACAAGAACTGAGGATGTTCCACAGCTCACAGAACAGACCATTAATGTTCATTTAAAAAGTCAAAGAAATTAACAATATTTTAAAGATGTCATCAGTAATATCAGAAATGTACCTTTGAATAATTTTAAAATATTAATATTTTTCAAAGAATTGATTTTAACTTGTTTTGCAAGTTGGATTTTATATTCATAACAATATGACAGCTTAGTTGGATTCTAATCTAAATTTTATGATTAAGTCTGCCCTCTCATTCTGATGAGCCAGAAAACTGCCTCATATAATAATAATATATTTATAAATTACACTTAAAGTCAAAATCCAAAATAAACATATGCTGAAAATAACTTTTATATACTCATCTTAAATCAAATACATAATCAGATATTTCATAAGATATGTAAAAGAATAGCCCAAACATTACCCAAAGAGCAGTCTCTTCCTACCTTGGCAATGAAGCACCAGGATTAAAGCACGCTTTTTCCACAGGAGTTTGGATATCAAAGATGAAAGTTAAGAATTCAAGCCCTTCCTATTCAAGTGAAGACTTAGTTCCCAGACAGCAATTTTAACACTTAGTAAATTCTCTAGAATTACAGAAATTCACTTTATACCACAAAGAACTCATCAACTTCTAAAGCAAGTATACAAAAGCTAAATAATTTGTAAAGTAAAGAGAGAAGTACAGGCAAGTATTACCATAACATGCATTTGATATCCTGTTCAAAAATCCTAGGGAGATTGTGAGCAGATTCTGAGATTTGGCAAGTTGCAAATAAAGCCTTCCATGTAAAAAGGAAGGACTCCTGGTATGTATGAAACAGTGGTCCACGACAGCATTTTAACAATTTAGCAATTGTTAGCAATTGCTAAATTGATATAATTGCTTTATTTAGCAATCATTCAACAATAATTAATCAAAGAGCTATCACTTAAAAAAAAAAAATAATTCAAGAACTTTCCTTGTCCTGAGCCAGTAAAATTCACCCCTAAGTATATGATCATCTTTCTATCCATACACTTAGCCTCATGTTTATAAAGACAGAAAAAACCCACAAAATTAATTCAAAGTTTTTTCCACTGGATATGTCTCCATATTTCTGCTGCCACAGCAGTAAAATCACCTTGCCTTTAATGTCAGGGATGATTATTATCTCTAGCTCAAACATATTTTCATATTTTTTTCCATATTTCATATTTTCATATTTTCAGGGGGTTTTCATGTTTTTTTGGTCTATTGTCTTAAAAAGCCTCAATAAAAGATTTTTCTAAGAAGAAAATGACTACTCCATGTGTATTCCTTGTATGTCCAAGACTCAAATTATGGTAGGCATACTAGTAATACAAATAACTGCCCTGTCAATTGTTTAAGGTAAGCAAGCTTTCAGTATAAAAGCAAGTAACCTTATATTATCAGGTTCTAATATCTGATCTTTAGTACCAGAGAAGCTGAACTTTGTGAATACATGCTATAATATATAGCAGGATATTTGCAACTAACCCTGAATCAAAACAAGTATCATACATATTACAGCCCTGCATCAAAGCCCCTCTTATATTCAACACTGGCATTTTTTTGGGGCACTGGAATTACAGAGAAACAACCTGTTTTTCAACAAAACTGAAAACACTGTAGAACACTATTTAAATTCCTTTCAGCCTGAATACCAACAATTCTCACAAATTTGCACTCCACATTAGGAAAATTGCTGTAAGGAAAAATCCTGCACCTAGCTGAATAAACAACTACTTTGTAAATAACATTAGTTGTCAATAGAAAACCCACAAGAGAATCCCACAGAATAGGAAAAAGCACAAATTAGCAATAAAAAAATTTTTGAAGGAATTTGTTGTAAAATTCCATGCTCAACATGTCAAGATATTCTGAAATTACCAGTTAGATAATATAACCCAAATCAAAGAAACAAGAGTAGATAAAAAGTTGTGGGTTTGGGGGATGTGCAGTGCTAATAATGAATATTAAATTTTGTCTATCTCCCTTACTGCAATGTCTGAACTCTCTGCTCTCTTATTCTGTCTACCTAAATTTCTGATGTTAAAAACTTGTCTGGGTTGCAAAAGAATAACCTGCAAATCATAAACATAAGCATTTATCTTCAGTTTATAGTAAATGATTTGGTTTCATTAGACCTTAAAGGCACCTCAGTATCCAGAAAAAACATTTGTACTGACACTGCCTTTCATTGCATGCGAACACATAAAAAGCAGCTACAGAAACAAGTATCAGTTGTGCAGCCTCCCCTACACTGACCTGACAACCGTTAGTCCTGCGAGTTCTACGAGCCTTGAGCTGTTCAGTCATTGCTCTGTATATGAGGGTTTTAATAAGAGATTAAACTGCAAACATGGGTTTTGACAGGTATTAAACCATGACACCAAGAGCTTCAATGAAACCATCTAATGCTAATTTACCTTTAGCTATCAAATATTATGGGGAATACCTTTAATTCCCCCCAAATCAGATACTTCTGAACGTCTTTATGATTTTCTTCTTTAAGATGAATAATGGTGAAATTAAAACTGAGAATACTTCTTAAATCTTACACTTATTGTAACCTAGTAATATAATTAAAATCACCTCACTTGCTGGTACAGTTTTAAAGAGAGTCAAGACTACTGATCCAGAGGAGGTGAGCAGGTAGCCACTTGCAGCCTCACTGAAGCTGCAACTTAAATTTTGACAACAGAAGCTTTCTGTGAACAGTAATTTTCTACTTTCAGTTTATTTAACTAGTTCCACATAAATATTATTTCATCCAAATGTGACTGACCAATATGAAATTGAAATTACAGTAAAGCTGATGCTTCTGTTTAATCTGCTCTGCAGTAAATTATTCATTATTTCGTTATCACAAAGTTTAATTGCTTCCTTAGCTGTCACTTACTGAGATGCCATTGAAACAACCTTTGACAACGAGAAACATTGCTCAAATGATCTACAGGAACAAACGGGGGAGAGGTACTGTTTATTGCACTCTTAAACTTTTCTTATTTACCTATGACTCCAAGGATCTTCCAAACAAACTTTAATGTGCATTTATAATTCTATAGTACACACAGTAGGTTCCTTTACATGTCAGTAAAACCACTTTTCCCCAGTTAACGCAGCTTCCATTTCAAACAGCTCAAGGTTCAGCTGGATTACATTACCTAACCTAAAAGCTCACTGATGCTTAAAGGTGTGATCTCATTCCCTCTTCCTTCCTTTAACTGTGGAAATACAACCCTCACTTTTCTGAAAGGGTATATCGTTTTTCAACTATCCTTACAGGTATCCCTAGATTTAGTGAAACTTTGCTATTTAAGTCTACCTTTATGATCATCCCATGAAATAAAATATCGGATAAAAAGGCAGCATGAACAAGTACTTTATATACAGTTATTGTATTCTTATTTATGGGTACATCTACTGTATATTTAGTCCATTGCTTTTTGATTGGTACTACAAGAACTTTTGAAGATATTTATTTCCCTATATCCTTTTCTTTCCTTTTTTTGGAGCAAGAGAAAACATCCTCCCCCCTGCCCAAGTGCTCTTGAAGAACTGTTACTGTAGTAGAGATGATTTGAAGACATAATTGAAGCAAGACTTATAGGAAGAGAAAATGAAGGGTTTTTTTTAGACCAGTTAAGTTTATACAGGAAAACCCCCCAGACACTTCCGCACATCAGAAATGTTCTCTAGCTCTCAAACAAAAGCAACAAACTTCAAGCTAGGTACAGGCTAAGAAAAATTTTTTCAAGACAGTTTGAGAGAGTTATAGACCTTCATTCTTTTTCCTGCTAACATCTCCCTCAGCTTTTCCAGGTGCCTTATCTATCCTCTTCTCTCAAACTGTGCAAATGATTAACAAAATGAAGTTAAACTCATGGTATAATTACTATTTAATTTTGCTATCTTCCAGCAGCAAAGGAGATACATAAAGTTCCTACCAAATTCTGATTACTTTTTTTTCTCTTCTGAATAGTTTATCATGCTCTTAATTTTTCCAGTAGAATTGCCTAGAAAGCCAGGCTGAACTTAAACAATCCAGATTAACGACAACAATTATTTTTAGGAGATTGTTTTGTGTAAATTTAGATCATTTCACTGATAAAGATTGCAGTGCAGCTCTGTAAATAGTTGTACAAAAAAAATGATCGTGGCTTGCTAACTAGCTTGAGAACAAGGAACTGGGGTAACCATAAATTGGCTTTGTCACAAAAAATATATGAAAACACACTTTCAGAGAAGTCATTCTCAATCTGTACTTAGCTTAATGTTTGATGCTTCTACCTCAAACTTGACTCATGTGGACAAAAGGTAGTCTTTTTTTTCCCCACTACTGACAGCGTTTTTATTTAAATAAATCTATTAGCTCTCCCTACAAGCCTTTGTCCGCTTTGAAGACTGCATAATCCTTCGTGCAGAATAGACTAAACCTCTTACTCCACTTTGAAAAACTGTGTGTAGTTGAACCATGTACAGAGTTGCTGGAACTCTTTAGATGTGGATACCTGTGTTGAAATTTTGTGTCACCTACAATTTTGCCATGCCCACTCCTTTCTGTGAAAATCTCTTTAACTTGCATATAATTATTTAATTTTACCATGTTTATATTTACATTATATTTACACTTGCAATACTGCATATCTGAGTATTCTTTTAGCAATACTCACCTCCAAAAGAAAAGGCTCCATTTGATCCAGTGTTTTTCCTAGATGCTTATCTGGATCTAAACCTGCAAAAATATATTAAAATATGTTTCACACAATAAAGTACTATTTAGACATCACGGAAGACTACTACTTTTTTTTTTTTTTAAATCATAAGTCTCCTTTAGAAACTAGTTCCACTGTATCTAAAAATCATTTTGATATACGTGCTTAGCCAGAATTCTCTCTTATGCCCTTGGGCAACTGGATTCCATGTTTGTGGAAAATACGGCCAATTTCCTTTGCAGCCTATGTCAATCGGAAAAGCTATTATTTTCCTTTCTTAGAAATTTCATTAACCAATAAAGTAAACAGGTCCACAGTAATAAAAGTACTCTACAGAAATTACCTCTCTATGTCAGAAGTTACCTTTGTAGATACATACTAAATTAAAATGCAGGTTAATTTTTTTTTATAGTTATTGCATAAGACTCCAGTAACAAACTACTGTGACACATTCATAGTAAAAACTCTTTTGCTAAGTCCCAGTCTGTGTGGTGGACCCATACAATAATGGAAAGAAGAGAGATATAAAGAAAGGTTGTAGCTGTTGCATGGTCATTTCTCAGCAATAAATCAAACAATTGCCAGTTATCAGTATTGGAATTAAAAAAAAAAAAAATCCGAGTAGGCCATCTTCTTCATTAATCAGCACCAAATAAATATCCTAGTTGGATTTGGGACTAAAAGGTCAAAAATTCTTAACATTTGAAGTAAATAAGAGAAAATAAAATAATGACTTCTGAAAGTAAATGAATACTTGAAAATTTTCAGTGATCACATTCTACTACTACTCTTAATTATTGCTTTTTTTCTTTTGATTGCAGTAGTAGTTCTTATTTCTTCCATTCTACCATTTTATACAATAATGGTATCACTAAAGAGCTGCCACCAGAATGACTCTACTCAGAAATAATTTCTAAGGTATGTACCTTTTAAAGCACTGGATCACTGAAGATGAAAGTTATTATACAAATGTATGATATATTATTATATGAAGTTTTCCTGAGTTCAAATAGCTGATACGCTTTTTAATTTTTACAGTAATGGTCTTGGTTTTAGTTTCACAGAAATTTAAATATACAAGTTAAGTGAATGAGATTTCAAAACATTAATAATGTTTTTAAATATTTAATTGAAAATTATTAAAAATTCTGCCACTATCTGGGGAAACACTGTAAAAGTTGCTTAATAATTAAAATGAAAAAGAATTCAGTTTATTCCTCCCTCTGTTCTTTTTTTGGTATTGGCTTATTGCTCTTTACTAACAGCCTGAAACTGCATGTTGTGATATACAAAATGCTGATCGCTTATGCCTGTGGAAATCATTTCAAAGTATTTTTATTTCATTTTAATAGATTGTACTTTGCATTGCAAAGCAAAAAAATTTTTCTAAATATCGAACTCCTGCCATTTTCCATAATGCATCATTGGGGCATTAACGTGTATTTCTAACGGGCTATACTTTTTACTCGCTCATATAATGAAGCAAAATGGAAACAATTAAAATGTTCATTAAAAACTACTTCTATTTTTATTACTGAAACATACTCTACTTATATATTTATATACATACATCTAATACTGTGGTTGGAAGCACTGATTAACCCTTTCTTGGATATAGCTCTGTCTGGTTCTTTTAATCATTTGTAGCTTTTGCTGGTACATTATATATATTCCATATCTTCATCCTTTTTTGCAAATTTATTTATAAGGAACTATAAACACACAATCCAATACAGAAGTAAGGAACACTATCAGTGTAAGCTTTTGGATGAACACATTTTAATGATCGACAATATCAATAACTTGTGCTGTTCATTTAGAACAGGTAGCGATAAAGTCTTACAGCAGTCAGCTGTTTCTTATATCGCATCCTTCCACAAGTCTAATTTTGTTTACTTAGTATTTTTAGAGGGTTTTTGCAATAATTTACTCTAGCTTTATCTTCACTGTGGAGAGGGCTAATTTACATCCATGTTGATTTAGAAACTAAAGGTGGATAATACTCCTCAAACTAAAATGACCATAAAGCACATGAAGTGTAACTATCATGACTACTTTACCAAATACAGAGCAACAAAAGTATCTGTGGTATATGCTGTGCTGTATGCTGCGGTGAAAGCTGATCTGGTCTAGAATGAATACTTCCAGTGACTCTGGTGATATCTTCCAATGTACACCAGCTTAACATTATGCCCTTGATTTTAATGGAAAAGGAATTAGGCTAAACAAGTGTTTTTTTTCTTAAAATAAATTAGTAATAATGAGGACCACATTATGGTACTCATTTCACAAATTTACATTAACAATCTTCATTAACAGCATTACTTTTTTTAAGAAAAGCAATCTTTTTCCTTAATAAATACCAACTGGTTTTCTTTAAATTTACCCCAAGAGATACACTGCAAACATGGCAGAAAGAAAGATGTCAAATTCAGACATAATATTATTTCTTTCACAACTTACTTTTAATATTTAGAAGGATACAATACTTTTAATAATAATACTTTTAAGATTTAGAAGGATACACCTACTGTTCTGTCCCCAATGAATACAAAATAATAATTAAAAAGAAACCATTATATGCATAGAATACAAAATTCAGATAAACTGGTTGGGTATACTTTAGGGTGAAGCACTTAATATTGTCCCACACTACATCAAAACATTGTGAATGAACAGAAACTGTGGATTGCTAAAGACATCAAGATCCAAGGTTACCTGCAATTCGCAGACCCATTAATCCACAACTCAAATCTCTAATGGTATGCATTTCCAGATGAAGCCGTATGTCTACTGCTACATTCAGTATAATGAAATATCTATATCCATATTTACATAACACCTAATATAAATCTACATTTCTACTTGACATGTTTTTCTTTAAACAAATGAGTAGATTGCTTCAGATTCTTAAAATGCCCTAGATTAAAAAAGAGAGTACCATAAATTCTTAGTACGTCCAATTTAACTGCATTCTACAGGTTCTTCCTCCCTGAAACCAGCTCTGAAGAAAGCTGGATGGATGGATAAACCAACAGCAAGATCCAGGGTCTGGATGATTGTATGCAGAATTAAGAAATTAATTAGGAAGAAGAACTATAATTTGCAGCACTGACATCCATTTTATTTTACTTGCATGTATTAACGGAAAGCAATTACAACTCAATTAAAATACTCACTTTTATTACTTTACTGACTGACCTTGAAGTTAATGCCTGTTTTATTTAATTGCATCATCTATGAATAAATGTTAACCCTAGAATGTTATGCCCCATTATTTCCAAAGCATTTTTCAACTCTCCAACTGAATTACATCAGTCAATTTATTATGTGCTGTCAAAAAAGCAAGTGGGGCTTCATTTCTGTAAAACAGACAAGTATGGGATGAGAGAAACATCCTGAAAGACTTTGAGTCATGTTCTCATTTTAGCTTTTGTGGCCTAGAGTTTTACTGTAAAATCAGTATTCAATAGTACAAGTGATATAATCACTTTGAAAAGCAATTTCTAATCCATTTATAATTCCTGATAGTTCCATCCAAAGGAACACAACACCTTCTTGCACATATCAACAATGGCTGCAGGACAATCCGACACACGGCCTCAAGGCAGCTGCTGCAGAGAACTGCAAATACAAAAAGCCTGGAGCAGAAATTCAGGGCTTTGTTCTGTAATGGAAAAAATATATACTAAAGAACATTAATGTATTTTACTACTGTGACAGTGCAACAGAACAAGTATTTTAAATGGTTCATTTTGTACACATGTGCTTGTGTAGCATAAGCCCTAAATTCGTAACTAACTGATATTACTTCTATTTATCAGGACCATTAAAAAAAATCAAGTTCACTTTCAAAGCATAATGTTTGGTTAACAAAATGTACATTCTAAAACCTCATGATACTCACAAAAATGTATTTTATACATGTTCATGAATTTAAAATAATACTGATTTTTTAAGAAAGTACTTTAATATATAGAATGCTATCCTCCCCTCCACTTAGAAAGAATGCTATGAGTAAATAAAAATAAATCATAATTATTGGTAGTAAGAAATGGTTGTTTTGAAAGTTCTTTTGAAAGTTATACTGAATCAAACTCTAACCCATAACACGTGAATACACTGTGAAAGAATCATTACCATATACATCAGCGAGATGAACTCCTATAATGGATGATGTATTTGATGAACTACCTCATTGTAAGCCACTTCGTCTTCCTCCACCAGTGAACCACTATCTCTTAATAATATAGTGGGAAACTTTTCCTTTTCTGATAGTTCAACCTGAACATTCAGAAAGTACACCTTATTCCTCTCTGATGTCTTCCTTAAAATAAGATTAAAAAAGAAATATCTAAAATCAAAATCTAATATCAATCTTGTTGAAATTTCATATGCATAGAATTAGTCTGGATTTTTTGAGAAAAATTGTAACTAGTTTTAAAGCTACAACTTAAAGTTCCCTCCTCTTTCCTGACTTCTAGAGAAGTACTGTTTAAAAAGATTAATAAGTACTACCATTATGGATGTAAGGGACAGAGATTGAGCTTCTGATGAAGGAGGAGAGTATAATACACAACAAGGCTGCTGAAAAGATCCTAATCAGTTACTCACCAAGCATAAATTTATATAGAACTTGATGCAGGAAAGGGGCAGTGAAAGACACACTTTCTATTACAAAATCTCTTGCTCTCTCTTCTTCAGGAAGAAAAACAGGGTAGCAAGGAGAAAATGGGAATGTACCCATTTCTGTACCTTTAAGGTACAGAAATATGTAGACAAAGCAAAAGACTACAAAGGGTAGGTGCAACTATCCCCTGCAGAGTTGGAATAGAGACTATTGGATTATTTTGAGGGTAAAATCCTATTAACTTTTTTTTTCCCCTAAGGAAAAAGTAAAAATCACTGATTTTCACTTAGCTTAGTCATACATTATTCTTTAAACAACAGGATGAAGTCAGATAAACTGTATGTTACAGGAGTGCACCTGCTGTAAATCCATACCTTAAATTGCCTTGGG